AATGGCAAATAATATCTTCATTGCTTTATTTTTTAGCAGACAATGGTTTGTTTTAAATTTTCCATTTGGAGTAAATATCGTACCCAAATAACAGAACTCCTTGACTGGTGTTATGTTTTTACCATCTATAATAAAAGTTTGGTTTTTCAGCATTCTGTTACTTGTGTTGAATATCATCACTTTGGTTTTCTTAACATTCACATCAAGATTCCAGGTTTTACAATTGTCTGCTAATTTATTCAGACAATTTTGTAAACCCTCTGCAGTCTGTGAAAACAAAACAAGATGGTCTGCATATAAAATAGAGTTTAAGGGTTTATCACCAATCATGATTGGTGTATCACCACTTTTACCAAAATGACCTGGAAGATCATTGATGAATATGTTAAAAAGGGTGGGTGAGACATTACAACCCTGTTTCACACCACATGTGGACTAAAAACCTTCGTTTTTCATGTGAGAGAGCCGCATTTTGTTCTCTTAGCACTCTTGTTTCCGCTTCAAATTCTATTTCTTTTTTCTTTGTTAAACCCATAAAGTTATTGTATTCTACTGCTTGCTTATTTAACTGTTCTTCTAGGAATGTATATTTACTTGCCAAGGATAAGCACAGGGAGCCCAGGAACTATAATCAAATCAAATGTAATACGCAGTCTCTATGAGTGGGGGCGGGGGGTATCGGCTGGTATCTAGTGTAAGAAATAGACAAGGGATGAAGGCTCCAGCCAGCTCACATTATTTAAACTCGAAAAAACAGACGAAAAGAATGAAAAATAAAATATAAAAAAAATACCAGGTTGAAGAATATTAGTTGCTTCTTCAAATTTCGCCAAAGCCCTACCTACATTTTACCGATATCTGCAGAATAAATCAAGAAAACTACACAAATTTATTCCAATTAGGAATTCCTAACGGTTTGCCCGAACGCACGGCCCAGTTGGAGGCGTGGCCTGTTCAGCATTTGTCAACAACCAATCACAAGACTGGTTACGAACCACATCGAGGTCACGACTCGGTTAGCCTTGTTCAATTGCATAATTATTTTTCAGCTTTTCTACTGATATCTTAAGTACTATACATCACATATCAATGAATGTTTATACATGGATGCTATAGGACAATAGACAGACCTGGATAATTGTGGGTTAAAATCTGTACATATTAATTACCCAATTTGCATAATTAACCAATTTTAAGCTTTCACACTGATATCTAAAGTACTAATTTCCATTTTAATGAGACTTAGTACAAAGATGCTCTAGGACGATGTACAAACCTAATTAGTTTGGGGTAAAACTCTGTTCATATTATTTCCCTAATTAGCATAATAATTCATAATTTTTTGGTTCTAATCACATTTCAATTAAACTTGGTACATAGAGTTTTTGTTACATTGCGCAGACCTCATTAGTTTTACAATCAAATCTGTTCATATTAATTTTCTGATTTGCATAATTAGTTTTCAGCTAAGTAATTTCAAATTATATTTAATGTGTCTCCAATACTCTCAGCACATGGGAGTTCTTTCTAAGCTTTCTTTGATTTTTCACTGCATGCAAATTATTTTCCTTGATGCACTCAACAAAGTCAAAGCAGACGTACAACATTCGTTGCAGAACGCGTGAAAAGTACTTTGCGTTCCAATCGCTTTGAAGCTGCCGCCTATGCTAATGAGCATAGTCGTCGGGATGAAGCCTTACAACTCCAAGTATTAAATAGGCAGTCGATTACATATCATGACACCGGATCGTTGTTTGATCCCCAGGGTTCCCAGGGGGATAAGTGGCGACTTTGAACCTTGGGTTGATCTGTATTTCTCTGACATGTTCCGAATACTATGAACTATGAAGTCTGAAGAGCAAACACGTCTTTT